GCTACAGCAGTGACATTTACGTCATACTTCACACCAGGAGTCAGGTTAGTAATATTAACTTCTGTTTCTGATGAATTCAGCATCTTAATCCCATCAATCCACTTTACTTTATAGTAGGAGCTGTTTCCCAAAGGTTTAGTCCAGATCAGAGATATAGAGTCAGTTGTGACTTCAGTCACATTAAGATTGCGGACAGTCTCTGGTTCTGTGAGCAGTAACAGCAATGCATTAAAATGATACATTAATCATACTGTAAACTTTGAGACTAAGACAGAAGAGAGTTCATAAGTCATGCTGTGTTACTGAATTCAATCCAAACACAGATGGAAGGCATTTAGAATGAAAGTAAAGGGTATTTAAGAATAAAAGGACATCCAACAAATTTTAGAAGAAATAACAAATAATCAATTTTAGGAAGAAATGACCAAACAGGACACAAATAAGAGATGACTACTCGTAAACTAATGCGAAAACATGTGAAGAAAATGCTGTATGAACAGTGGAGGACTGGAGATTGCTAAGACTAAAGGCTAAGACTAATTTAGTATGCGAGTGTGTGTATAAATGGGTGAATAACTGAATGTGGTGTAAAGAGATTTGGTCAAGTCTCAAGTCTAAATTGAAAAAGCGCTATATAAGGCCATTTACCATTCTAATGTTTATCATCTATATAAGAGAGAGTACTGGGTAATGAAAAGACCAAAAGACTGAATCCCTTTAGTCATAGTAAAGTAGGTCACTAGAAATCTAATTAAAATAAAACAAAAAAAATCAAAGCACCTACTGTCTTTCTACTCATTAGTCATCAAGAATCAGTGTGTTGTCTTACTTGTGTAGCGGGATACAGAGGCAATGGATCCTTGAGTACGATTATCAGCAGCTACAGCAGTGACATTTATGTCATACTTTGTACCAGCAGTCAGGTTAGTAATAGTAAGTTCTGTTTCAGCTGAATTCAACGTCTTATTCCCATCAATCCACTCTACTTTATAGAAGGAGCTGCTTCCCAAAGGTTCAGTCCAGCTCAGAGATATAGAGTCAGTAGTGACTTCAGTCACAGTAAGATTGCGGACCATCTCTGGTTCTTTATGTGAAAAATAAAAGTACTATTAAGGCATATATCCTAATATCATATATCTTATGACTTTAACAACAGAGAGCCTTATTGCTATATAGAGTTGTTACATGAACTAAGCTGGGGGTGGGGAATATTGAAAAACAACAATGACATAACTTAAAATTCTTTACATCATTACACCTACTGTTTATCTACTCATTAGTCATCAAGAATCAGTGTGTTGTCTTACTTGTGTAGGAAAATACAAAGACACTGGCTCCTTCAGTATGATAATCAGCAGCTACAGCAGTGACATTTATTTCATACTTTGTACCAGCAGTCAGGTTAGTGATAGTAAGTTCTGTTTCAGTTGAATTCAGCGTCTTATTCCCATTAATCCACTCTACTTTATAAAAGGAGCTGCTTCCCAAAGGTTTAGTCCATTTTAGAGATATAGAGTCAGTAGTGACTTCAGTCACAGTAAGATTGCGGACCATCTCTGGTTCTTTAAATGAAAAATAAAAGTAAATTCCTGGTATAAAGTTTAAGGCCTTAACAGCAGAATCCTATTGCTACTTAATGACATAAAGCTCAACACTAACACAA